TGACTTGAGATTGATTGTGGGAAGTTTATGAATGCGGGATGAGACCATTCGGGGTCCCAAACATAGTCTGATTGTTCTGTGATGGCAGTATCATCGTTTGAGTTTTGGGGTCTAAAATTTTTTCTTGCTTGTGAAATTAAATCAATATTATGTGTGAAATAATCTATTATGAACCATGCCAAGATTTTTTGTAAGTCGTGTTTTGTATGTTGTGAAACTTCATCTTTCGTGAAATTTTCTTTAATTATATTTAGAAAACTAGAGAGTAGTGTGATTTCATGTCGTACTCTTATATGTTTAGATGTTTCTGTTGGTGAGACATTTGGTATCTGGATTTCGTTTTCTAATATCGAGATATAACTATATATTATCGCAAAAACTTCATTGGTGAATATGGAGTTTGCTCTTTGTGAGTTATGATATTGGATGCTTTTTATATATTCTGAGAATACTTTTGAGAATTCTAAATCAAGGTCGTCTGTTTGAATTATATATTTACTGTGATTCTGGTTTGGTGAGCTGAATTCTATGGAGTAGATTCCGTATTGTTGTGTTAGGTTACATATATCTTTTAGATAGTGATCGATAATTTGTCTTTTGATTTTTACATCTGGGAACTCTGTTTTACATGGACTGATTCCGGGTTCAAACAAATTTAAGAGTAAATTTTTGCAGAATATATGCTGTCCTCTATCAGTGGTTGCATCTACGATAAAGGGGAAAATATCATCATCATCTGGACTTTCTTCACCTGGGGTGTGCGTTGAGCTCATTTTTTCGTTCGATGACTGTTAATATGTAATTATCAATGTGTCTAATTGGTTGATTCCAATTGTATAAATGTACTGGTTTGTGTTTATACTGCTTTTTTATTCTTCTTTTTCCTCTTTTTGATGAATTTGAAGTTGTTTCTGAGTCAGAGAAATATAATTGATCGTGAATTGGGCAATTTTTATCTATTGATTCTTTTAGTTTATAAAGTTCGTCTAAACTGTTGGTTTCTGATTCTGAAAATGCGTTTCGATTTTTTGAAAATCTTTTTCGTGTTATTTGTCTTTGTTTAGTTATTATTTTTCTCTTTAATGTTTGTCGTTTTGTTCTAATGTATCCAACTGTTTGTGTATGAGGTGTGATTACAAGGTCGTATTTTTTGTTATTTATTTCACAATTGTGTAAAACGATTGTTTGTTTATTTCCTAGGTTTTTAAATGACATAAGGTTTAGGATGACGGATGCAAAAGGTTGTTAAATGATTTCTATTTGCTTAAACTGTTAGTCCTTACGATTTTTTTGTTAGCCTAACCTGGGTCTATTTGTTCAGGGTTGGGGAGAAAAGTATATCGATTCCGAAGAATGATTTTATACTTTCTCGTGGCTAGTATAAGCTAAGGTGTTAACTTACTTAATCTTACTTAAGGGTAGTGATTGTGTTCAGGGTTGGAGAATAGTAAATCGATCCACAGGGTTCAGGTATAATTAGAACGCGAGTAGTTCGTTAGATACTATTTTAAACTTACTAAGTCTAAGATTTATCCTGGGTCTGGTAGGAGGGGGGATAAAGTGAAGGATGAATAACCGAAGTTCTTCACTGTTTATCCTAATTTGAATGATTAGTTTTGTTCAAACATTTCTATTAGTCCTGGGTTTTTAGAAAGGGTTGGATAGTGAATCGACGTTTGAGGTCGTTAGACACTCGTTTAGTGGGTGGGGGAGAACAAAGTTGTTCTTTTTGATCCAAGGATAGGCCTTGATGATCAAGTTTTAAATTTAACTAAATAGAAAATGATTTAAGATCCAAGGATAAGCCTTGATGATCTGATTTTAAAATTAAGTGAATTTAAGTTTAAAATGTTTTAAATTTGTGTAAAGAATAGATTTAGTATTTTTATGATATTAGTGAGCTTATGATTGCTGTTATGTTTAGGCGATGAAGCTGGAACAACAGGATGATTTATAATTACTAATCATTTATTGTCATGCTACTAATTTTTATTTTGATTTTTCAATAAATATTTTTCAAACATGTTTTGTATATTACTGCAGAATTTTGGAAAACGATCTGAGATCTTTTTATCAATCGTTATTGTATATTAATAATTTTGTTTAGCGCCTGAAATGATTTTGAAGATTGACTTCAAAATTTTATGTTTGCAAATGAAAATCTAAATTCATTGCTAGTAGTATTCTAAATACAAAAGTTTGTTCTGGCTTTTGCCGAACTATCATATAACTATATGGTAAGTTTCTGCTTTGTCGTATGTCGTCTCTGGTTCGAGGTCTTCTTCCAATTTCGGGTAGTTCTGTTATCGTTCGGAATATTGGCTCTGATCTATTGAGTCGTAGAGACATTTCGATTAAATTATTGTCGTATAACATTTTGTAAATGTTTTGTCTAAATTCTAATCTATTATTGGTTAATGCTAAGATATTAAGGTCTTGTTCGAGACTTATGGTCGCACCAGATGAGTTATATTCGATGGGTATAACTCATAGAGTAATTTCGGATAGGGTACACCGTCTGCTCGTCACGCTATCTTATTTTCGGCCGGATAGATTCGTGCAACTTCTTAGTCTAATACCGATCCTAATCTTACTCTTATACTATCTAGTCTCAGGTTGTTTAACTAGTCTCTGCTAGGCTCAATAGATCTAGGGTATACTGGTTTATTGCGGCTGCTGAAGTACTCGGGAGAGTTCAACTAATTTCTAAGTTAAATTCAAATCTCTCTGGTGCTGAAATTACAAGTAATTTCAGCACTTACAAATAAGTGGATTGTTAGTTAGATGGATCATGATTGGTTAATATTAAATACTTTACATTGGTAAAATATCTAATTTATCCAATCATAAAATGTAGTTTAGATCAGGTTCCACCTCTATAAAGAGCCGATTTTGACCAAATTTTCTGCGACGCGTGTTTATGCACTTTTTGGAAAATTTTGTCCAAAAAATTGCGTGAATCAGCTACTGCTTGCAAAATAATGAAAAAAATCAACTGACAGCTTTTTATCCAAGTATGAATTTCTGATTATCGAAAAAAGGGGATTTTTCTTGGGTTAGAGAGGTCTCGAAACAATCAGTCTCTTGATTGAAAGCAACTCATGTCTGTCTCATGAAGTGATCGGATGAGATATTTATTCCTATTAAGATAATATCAAGCATGCAGAATATAGTATGTTATTTTGAACCTTGGATCGTGTCGAACAATTCCATGTTAGTTTTTAATCCTTGTTCGACACTTTTCTTTTTTTTTTGTGGAAATACCGCAAAACGTTTAGCTGCTTGAATTCGCAAACTCAGGTACCACAAAAAATCATCGGACTGCGTTGAGTGATATATTTCATTAGAGCCATTTCATTTGCGATTCACACCACATTTAAAAAAATTCCAACAAAAACTTCTAGTGTCGAGACAAACTGGTTTGAACTTATTGATTTTTCGTCTAACTTTGATCAAAAAAAGCGAGCGAGTAAGCTTGCTTATGCTTAATTTAAGCCATTGATGAATGGTTTAAATTGCTGAAAAAAAATTGATGAAAAAAAAATTGATGAAAAAATTGGTGAAAAAATTTTCAATTTCGTAAAACTTGTGAAAGAGAAAAATTGTGAAACTATTTCAACGCGAAAACATAAGTGCATCATTTATGGTTGTATTGTTGTTTCAATTGTCTTTTTGTAACTTTTTGATTTTCAAACGAAGTTAATTTTTTTCTTTCTGAACTGGACAGTTTTAAGCAAATAACCATTATCCAATATCATATCATATTAACTAATATGCTTGTGGAAATTTTTACCCATCTTTTGTGAACATGGTAATGAAATTTCATACAAAGTTTGTATTGTTTTTCCAATTTTTTTCCGTCACGGAATAAATGTAGGAAATAAATTAGTTTTTTCTTTTCATCACTCGCAGATTTCAAAAAATTTTACTAACAATTCTTTATCTATCATTTAAGCGTGGCTTTTTTACATTTGAACATTTAATTTCATCACTTTTGCCAATAACTCAGCTTTTATCAATTTTTATCCGCGTACTTTTTTAGTCTTTGTGAAAATTTTGAATTAGAGTTTTTGATTACTTTTAGAGCTTATTTTAATCTGCCAGCAGTACATGGTTTCAAGTTTCTGGAACACGTCGGAGTCCACCGGCTTTTAAGCAATTGTTTTTGCTTCTGATTCAGATTAAGCAAAATTTCTAATTCATTTTTACCAATATACATAAATTGGGGAGAGGGGGTTTGGGACACGAGAAAATACGATTTGAATTTATATTTTCTCGACACACCACAAATTTTGAAATACATAATTGCAGCTTGCACGAAGACTGCTCGGGTTTTGATGTGAATTTTGTATTCTCTGCAATTTATTCCGATTATGAGCTGTAAATAATAACTCCGTACTCTTAAAGTTAAGAGGTTTAAAACCATAGCTATGTTCCTGCGAATCGCAGAGGAGCTATCAGTAGACCTTAAAAGTCCTGTCGAGGATGGCCCATTTGTATTATCTCCCCACATTCCAGACCGTGTTTTTTGTTGAGCGAAGCTCTTTTTATAGCGACTCAAGGCCATTTTTTTGCGTCTAGAACTTTCACGTGGTACTACTATTGCAGCCAAATTTGGTCAGGCAGTGGAAGACCTGAAGCTAGAGGTCAAGTGAGAGCTCGTGCCCACACACTATCTTTGCCATGGCATGGGGTTGAATACACGATCTGACGATTTCTAAGTGAACGCCTTACCACTATGGTTACCACTAGGATGTCAGATTGCAAAACTACCTGGAATGATTTGGAAAATCCGCCATTTAAATTTATAAAAACTAAAAGTCAGAAGTCAAAAATGAATTGTGAGTCACTTTTGCAAAAACCGACGGCCTGCTCATACTTTTCGAAACCAAACTGACCTTCACTTCACTTGCCAAAACAATAAAAAAAACCAAGAAAAAACGTTGACTTATTGACCCTTTTGAAAATTACTAGTACTAAACTTATTTGATTTCTTGGCCATGAAGATAACCCTGCATAAAATTGTGATGCCCTTCACTGTGTCAGATTATGAGCGAGGATTTCTCTACACTTTAGCCTATATTGCTAAACAGGTTAAGACGATTCTTATACTGTTTATTGATTTTTTTTTTAAAAAAAAGAATTAAGAGGGTGAAGGTTTTTTCAAAAAACGTTTCTGCCCACAGTCAAAACCTGGTAAAAGGCAATGTTTTCACAAATTGAAAAAAAGGGGTCTATTTTTGAGGCTGCAGGTGTTAATTATACAATTCAACGGCAATTTGTAACTAATCGGGAGAATGCCAACGCTCCCAACCACCATAGCTTCTTTTGCAAACTCCTGGCAAAATACAAAGACAAATGTTAAGTTGGCTGATAGTTAGAATTAAAAGAAATTTGTTTAAAAGTCTATTTGATTCAAAAAAAATTAGAAGTGCTCTAAAAAAAATTGAAAATTAAACAAATTGAAGGATACTGGTTTTTGTTTTAGGAAACTGGCAAAGGTAGCGGAGTGGAATTAGTCTCGAGCAAAAACGACAAAGAGTTCAAATTACCCGACAACGAAGTGCCCGAGAAGTGCCAATACACACACAAAATATATCACTGCGAGCGGTTTGTCTCAAACTGGGTCCGCAAAATCGCCATCAAAATGTTCGGAAAAAACTCTTTGAAATTCATAGAGCACGCTTGGAACTGCTATCCTTACATGTACACGTCAACTGAAAATATGGAGAAACCCGAGAAGATTGCGATGCATTTTGAATCGTATCATATTGATAACGACAAAGGCAACACTGAAAAGCCGAAATTTATTCACAACAGCAAACATCTGAAGAACAAAAACTCGTTTAAAGGGGTCCAAATTAGAGTGACAGATATCACAGAGAACATGAAGAAATTAAAGAAGTTCGACCCGACTAAAACAGAGTCGAAAAAAGCGGGCGTGGGTCCTTTGACTCCGAGTACAAAAAAGAAGCCGTGGCATGATAGCTTCGATGGACCAACTATGTGCTGCTACAAACTGTCAAATACCAAGTAGGTAGCCAAAGAAAATCGCTCGTTTCCAGTTTCGCCCAAATTTTTCTGAAATTCAATGTATAAAAAGGTGCTAGGGGTTTTAGCAGACCGGGATTTTAGCAGACCGGTTTTTTAGCAGACTCAGAACAATTATAAAGTGTGATAACTAACTTCAAACGCGGAGTTGGCGATTAGCGACCGCTTGCTCCGCTGCGCTTCAATTCAACACGAGTGTTATTGTGCGCGTAAAACTTTGTTTTGCCGCTAATTTAGACTGTTGTGTTTTTGAAGTAGATAATTTTGTTTACAAATTGCGAGCTAATTGTCTGAATTGAGGGGGGGGGGGGGGGGGGGGAAGCTTGGCCCCAGACTGAGCGTCTTTTTGAGTCTGTCATCAATCATCCATCACTGTATTACGTTGGTCTGCTAAAAGACTCATTTTTCACTTTTTATGCTAAAAGATTGGTCTGCTAAACGATCGGTCCCCGTATAAAAATCTAATTAAAATGATTTTTCATGTTATAAACTGCATTAAAACGTGTCAGCGTGAACAGGTGAACAAATTCTTACATGTAAAATTACGTGTGAACAATTTTTGAACAGTTTTATTTTGTAATTTTACGGAAAAAGCCAAGAAAATCTAATAAAAATTGAAAATTTTAAAGAGGGTCTCAAACTATATCCTCTGAAAAAATGACACAAAGCTTAATTGAAAATCAGTGATTTGTATAATCATCAGCAAAGCTTCAAAAGTCTAAATAAATTTTGCGTTGAAAAAAATCTGAAACAAAATTAATGTTCTGTACTATTTAAAAGTTCAATTGGTTTATTTCAGAAGTTTCAAAAATTATTAAGCGTAAGATTTCCTTAACAATTCCCATCCTCTTCTCCATTTTGAAGAAATTCAAACAAGAAATATTGTTACAAAGTAAGAAATTCATATACGCTGAACCGTTCAGTTAGTCTTTAATAGGGGTCTAAGTTCTTTATTAGGTAACCGGTGTGGGGGGGTATTCTTATCTAACGGGTACATTAAACTCCCGCAGATTCAGACCCCGTCCCTCCTTTGTTCAGATTCGACATCACCTTCGGGGGTACTTTGGAGGGCAAATTTGTGAAGCAGCAGGACTTCGCCCTAAAGAAGTTCCACAAGATGATCTACTGTCTCATGGACGAATGGTGGGATATGACGCTTGAGGTGGGGGCACAGTTTTTGTCACTATTCTTGTAGGGGACTTTCCCCATTCTGACAACATTTCCAATTTTGGTTTTTTGGTGATTTTAATTTGGTTTTAGAAATTTGCTGTTAAAACGATTGGAACTTTTTGAAATCACCTCTCTTGGCTTCAGGAGCAATTAGAGACCACTAAGTTAGCTTAACTTTTCCCGGATTATTAAAATTGAAAAGATTGTATTCATCAATACTGGCTGCTCGGAGCAACCTAAAAAGCATCAAGCACCAAAAATTTCGAAGTGTTGCTGATGCCTGAGCAAATTAATATAAGACCTTGAGATAGTTTTAAAAAAATCTTTTGCTTTAGGAGGTTTTGAAATACGAGGAAGAGGTCAACAAAGAGCTCGGTAACAATCTGCACCGCGAAGACATTGAATTAACCGGCGGTGGATTCGGAGCCGAAGACGACTCGTCTCGGGCCGATTCGGGAGCTGCCGATCAGTCGGAAAACAGAGCCGATAACTCAGGGGCACAGCCAGAAAAAGCTACTCCTGAGGGCACAAATGAAACTCCGAGTGGATCCGTTATCAGGTCAGACGCGAAGGGTTCCGAGCCTAAAGCAGAGGAGAAGCCTGCAACATCGGAATCAGCGGTGCCTCCGGCATCAGAAGGAATAAAAACGAAGAAGTTAACCCCAAATAAGTCGAAAGAAGGCGGCGAGTCATTCAAGACGCCCGATCAAGAACTGCCGCCAATGTGTGACGAATGTTCAGTGCGACACAAGCCGGGAGATCCTCACAGAACTAAGAAAACTTAACTTGAACTTGCTTTTTCTTTTTTTTTCAGAATGCAGGTAGCTCAAAGACTATCTAAAACTTTTCGCACGAATCGAATTTATTTCCACTCACATGACGATTTAAACCTTCCTTACCAGAGGCACTGCAATAATAATTAATGAAAAAAGCTTTACGGGTCATATTTTGAGAAACAATTTACTTGATAAAAGTAACTCGTTCTTTAAATTTAAGGCGCAAAATTTTTGTACAACCGCGCGACAAAAGTAACTCATTTATTATGAGTCATGAACGTAGTAAATATTCTTATACAAATGATTGTGGTTTATTTTCAAACGCTCAAATTTAGCTTTTTTTACGGTTTGATTTTTGTTCCGACTTTCGATACGAAAGTAACGGAATATTTGTGCTCGGGGTGGGTTTTTTCTTCAGACAAATTTCGACTTTTTAACTAGCCATTTTTGACGGAATTTTTTATATCATTAAAAGGTATTGTTGTCTTGAGCTTAAATTTGCAAAGATTTTTCACCTGTGACCATTTTTCGTAGGGGGTTTAAAGATTGCCAAATCGTTCCAAGTTGGTGGTTGAAAGAAGCTGACTTGCCATAATTGATTTGTTACAATGAGCGAAATCTATCTTTTTCACTTTATGTGGCGTGTGGGGGATGATTTAGTCCAGAACAAGGCCAATTCGGCAATTTTCAAACCCGCAAAACTTTAAAAAATAGTAATCGAGGGTAAAATACCTTTTTGAATTTAAACTCAGGATGTCGATATCTTCAATGTGGTATAAGAAAATTTTGTCAAAAGCTAATATTTCGAAAGGCGAAAATTGACTGAATAAAAAACCACACCGAGCATAAATATTCCGTTTTCTTCGAAAATCGGAACAATAATTTGCCGCCAATTTCGTTAGGACTAAAAACAGCTCTAAAAAGAACAAGACTGCTCGTATCAGGGCGAAGCCCTGATTGTTCCGACTGACTTTTAAGGTCTATGGACTAGTAATAACATGGAAAATTTAAATATAACGAAGTAAAATTTAAATTTTTTTTTTCTAAAAAATTTGAGATTTTTTGTGAAAACATCCCCCCACACGCCCTATTAAGTACAAAGTGATAGATTTCGTTCCTATTATTAAATCAATTATGGCATATAATCTTCCTTGAACCAATTTGGAACGATTTCTAAGACGGATTAGATCTCGCTTACGCGTTAATTCCGCGAAATATATCGCGCCCTAATTGTCCCAAATTGGCCAAAATGACAATCTTTAAACTCCCATAACTTTACGAATAATGATCACAGAAAAAAAACATTTTCAAAGTTTCAAATTTAAGCTCAAGAAAAGAATACCTTTCGAATGATATAAAAAAAATTCCGTCAAAAATGGCTAGTTAAAAAGTCGAAATTTGTCTGAAGAAAAAAACCCACCCCGATCACAAATATTCCGTTACTTTTTAATCGAAAGTGGAATTTAATTTTCATATTTTCCAGCGGAATAAAAATGTTGTCTATTGATCCAATTTTCTCAAATAAGGTTATTTGCATCAAAAAAAGTGTCACAAATAAATTGTTCTCGAAATTCAAAAGGTCAAAAGGTCATATAATTTTTTAAAATTGGAATTTGAAAGTTGAAATTTTTTCGAAAAAAATCTGTTGTTTTCCTTTTTCCGTTTGTAGTTCATGACTGTTTTCCAAATTATAGTGGTTATTTTTTTAATTTAGGCTTGATAAAAGGTTATCCCCAGTTTACGTAAAAAAGTTTTTCGGGAAAATGATCTTCTCTTTGAAAAGTGTTGCAACTTAGTTTTGTAACTAAGGTTCTTGAGAGTCGCAGAGCTATAAAAAGGAAGATGATGAAGAAGAAGTTAACTCTGCTGTGTGAAAACTCCAGTTTCATTTCTGTTCCAGGATAGTGCTGATTGAAAGTCACTTCAAAATTTTAAAAATAAAAATCTCATTAAAAGCCTGAGATTTAACTGTTGGGTTGTCTCTGATTAGATGACATTCAATCATTGAAGCTGTCGATTCATTTTGATGCAAAAATAGGCAAACTGTTTTTTTTATCATAATTGGAAGTAATTTTTTTTCGGTGAAACAATGAAAATTGTTCTTCAAATCTTAATATAGTTTAGTGAAATCATCATTACCATAGTTGTTTGTACCATCTGCGAACATTGTTTTTCTTAGTAGTTCGCAAAATTTAGGAAGATCATTTAAACTGAAGAAAAAGAGATTCTTCATCTAAAGAAAAAAGTGGTCCCAGAACGGAAACCTGAGACACTCCGTATTTATTTTCTTAAACGCTGAAATCTTGTGGTTAACACTAACACATTGTGTTCTGTTTGTTAACATTGATTTCAATAGTTGCCAAGTAAGTGCTCGCAAACTATTCCGAAAAAATTCGTTGAGTAGGATTTCATGATTTACTATACCGAACGCCTTGGATAGAACTTCAATTTAGCACTATGTGGTTTTATTCAATCAAGTGCTGTATGACGACAGTCAGTTACTGCAAGCAACAATAGCATCAACAACGTTAGTTTTTTCTCTAATCAGTTCATTTTCATAATTTTTTTCTTACTTCGACGGAGTTGGAAAGAGATTTGGTCGCATCAGGTTGATTTAGAAATCTCCGCACAATTGATTAAGAGTATCGGATATGAGGTCAAATAATATAGTGTGATTCAGGAAATTGTCCATAGAATTTAGTTTTATGGCAGTCGACTTTAAAAGTAGAGATGGGATAGTCAGCCACTAAATTTTTTTTGTCCTTTGATTAGGAGTACGAGGGATCTTTAGCTTCCCCAGCCAAATATGCACCTTTAAAATATTTCAGACTTTTGTTCACATTGTTCAATTGTCAGTTTGTCCTGACATAAAAGCTGGTAAAATCATTGTTTAAACCCTAAATTTGATGTTCATATCTCGTTTGGGCAACAGTAGAAGAGAGGGTTGGCGGTTCGATGCCAACTTTGAGCCTTGATCGTTACCGGTGAGTATCCAAATAAAAAGCCCAAAATTAAAAATATAAATAGTTTGGATGGAAATCAGTCTTAACAAAAAAATACAGTAATTGCGGTAATTCTTTTACATGGATAAGGTTTTTACAGCAGTTTGACTAAATTGTTTAATCGAAGTTAAAGAGCAATTGAGCGAAAGTGAAATGATTGGGAAGCAGTCCTGATTTCAAGTGTTGAGTTACTTTTTTACTGCTCAGTATCGCCAATCGGCGTCACCTTGAGAATATCTCAGGAACTGCATCATCAAGTTCTTCATCCCCATTCCCTCAGTAGCCGGGCAATCTTCCTGGTCCACGTCTGTCATTTCCAAGAAGACCCCGTTATGTCTCAACTTCTTCTGGACTTCATTAACCTCTTCAGGATCTGGGAACCTTTCACGTGACATGATCCATGCCAGGTCCATTTTCAGTGAACCGAAACCCTGGCAAAAATAAGCCAGAGAGAAATTATCGTCCGCGTGTAGGACAAAAAAGTTAGGCTTCTCGGATCTGGGAAGGCCAGCTTTCTGGTTTCCGAGGACGAAATAACCCTGAGCCGAGTGACGAGCGTAGATGTACTGCCGGGCATCAACGATACTGCTGCGCCATTCTTCGCCCGTATATCCAGTGCTGTTTATTCGCAGACTCCAACCTTGCAAAAAACAATGGTATCTTTTTTCGAAAAATCAACCTCGGAAATTTAGCGTAGATCTTTTAGCATGATCAGAATTTTTCCGGCTCTTTTCCTACTCTCTCCCACACCCGCATTTGATTTTCAGCTTTGAAATCCTATTTTAGCGTTATCACACTGCAATGGAAGTTTGAATGGCGCACAAGAACTAGCTCCATACCTTACAGTTAAAAATTAACTACTTTTAGCCATAATAGTACGCATTAGTATAATTAAAATGGAGAATTTGGGAGCGTTGTGGAAAATAGCGGTTTGTTACTTTAGTCAGGGAAGTATTCTTTCTCCTTCATATAAGTAGCAATCCTAATTTCTGAGGCAATGGCTACACCTCGTTTTATTTTTCATTCGGAAAAATAGTTGAAATTATATTAAAATATAAAAAAAACATACCGTTGACATCCTTCCTGAAGTTATACTCCTCGAAGTTACACGTCTCTCCTCCCTCGTCCTCCGGTTTTACCCTTCTGATTTCGTACCACCGACCAGCGAAGTTGGTTTCCCCCACATGTACAGCCGAAACATGGGGACAGTGGCCGACACTGATACCAGCCGACACAAATCCGAGAAGCGCCGACAGTAGAGTTAGGCGTTGAGCCAACATTTTGAGATACATCCTGAAGTCAAATTCAGTTCTAGTTTTATGGTAATTTATACTTTGATCAATCAGAGAAAAGTTACGGATTGAAAAGGTGTTGTTTATTTGCTGGATAAATGTTAAATTCAATTTCACATTAAGATTTACATTCACATTAACAAAACAATAACTTTTGTGCTAGATAAAAATGATGCTAGCCTTTTTGCAACATTTTCTTGACCTTCTGGGTTCTATTTGAACAACTTAATGACAAGTGATGACCCGACCAATTGGAGTTCAAGTCTGACAAACCATGGGGAGGAACTTTGCCTGTTTGAGGAACTTGTGTGTTTGTTTTATTAGATGAGACCATTTGAAAAATGGAGAGAAACTTTGAATTCGGATGTGTTTTAGTTTTTTTATTTTGTTTTGTTTTTGTTTTTCACGCGAATTCACCTACCACAAATGGTATCATTGGACTGGGTTGAGTGATATATCATAACAAAGCCCAAAAACTTTCCGAAAAATTTTCCCAGCGTCAAAACAAACAAGTTGGAAAAAATTGAGTCTCAGTCTAATTTTGTGCGAGTAGAGAGCACGTGAAGCATACAAATAGTTTTATAAAAAAAACATTGAAACAGAAAAAAAAGTAAGATTTACTCCTTTTTAAAAAATTATTCGGCAAAAAAAATTATAAAAGTTTTGAAAAAAAAAATGTTCTGTCCTTTTTTCAAAAATGTTTTTGCTATACTTTTTGAAAACAACTTTTAAGTTTTCTAAATTCAAACTCGTTAAAACAGTTTTTTCATCACACGAATTGCCTAAATGAAATTTTTGTAAAGAGTCAAAACCATTTTTTTGTTGTGTTTCATGAATGTTGTCGGATTGATTTGTGGTACTTGCACAGATTTTAGCTATCCTTATTGCACACATGTTCACTTATCAATCGACGTCGTAACAGGTTCTGTCAATGAGAAGTTTAAGCAAATATTTTATCCATTGATGAAAACAGCAAGCAGACCAGATCAAAATTGCAAACAGCAATGCCTCGGAAAATTAATCGCGTAAAGCTGTGAAAAGAAAAACAAGACTACTCGTAAATCACGGTAAAGCTCTGAATGTTCCCTCTAAACTTAAAAGTCAATTTAAAAAATATTTTTTTAGCTTATCCCTCAACACGCTTATGTAAAAACGAGGGGATATAAAAAGAGTCTTGTTTTTTAGAATACGACCAAATGACTCGCCTCAGTTAATTTGGAACACACTAACCCGCCGCATACGCGTGTCTTAATCAAGCAAAATATCGCTCGTTCATTATCTCGAATTTGAATCTAACAACTTTCAAATCCTCAAAAAAATAAAAAAAATTTGATCAAAAGTGAAACTTCTTTTTGAAATTAGGCTCAAGAAATCAATAATTTTCAGATGGTGTAAAAATTTCTCTCAAAAGTGCATAAGTAAAACGTCGAAAATGGCTAAATAAAAAAAACTTTGTCAGGATTATTTGCCCCCGGGCAAATGGCCCTTTGCCAACTTGCCCTGTTTTAAATGAAAGTGAAAAATTGTCCGATGCCTTGTACATGAAAAACTGTCCTACGCCAAATTACGCAGCATGACAACTTGTCCTATGCCGTTTTGTTCCACTAGTAAGACCTCTAGTTATTTATTTGATGTTCAAACCGAGTAATTTTAAGTTCCAGTTGTAATTGCTAATGTAAATTTCAACCTGTTTCGAGAAAGAAGGGAAGGGTATTCCGAAGGTATTCAATTGAAGATAAAGGTATTTCATAGTATTCCATAATTATTTGATATACAAACCGAATAATTTTTAAGACCAGTTGTAATTTCTAATGGTAATTTCAACCTGTTTCGAGAAAGAAGGGAAACGTATTCCATATGCTTTAAATTGAGCCTCAAATATTAACCAAGCCATAATTTTTTTCAATTAAACGCGAAATTTAGACAATAATCCGCCATTAACGCTTTTGAAACAGAGCAAAAGTTTGTAGTGTTTTTTCATTTTGCATCCTTGCTTAAATCTTTTTTCTGCAAAAATACGATAATTTTACTATGGTTCAAAGTACATAGGCAAAAATTCAACGAATCAACCGAACGCTCCTTAATGACGAACAGGGTTTTACAAAAAAGCAAACAACAAAAACAATTGAGCACTGGAGATACAGTTCACATAAATGCTGAATGCTCGCAGTAACAGTTGAAAATAAACTGGTATCTACCAAAAACGATTTATGGTATCTGTCAAATAAAAAAGGGGTCAAGCTGCAACTGGTACCTGTCAATAGCAGTAGAATTGCCACTTGTCTCCAGGAAGTATCAGAAGAAAAAGCAGTGCAGTTATCCTTGCCCAGTCGAGCATCAATAAATAGATTTCTCAAATATAACTTCGCTCTATCTGCCTCAATAAAAACAGGCATTTATAGATCCAGTATACTGAGATTTGTTTGGTTAGACAGTGGAGTTACGGATTTTAATCTTCGGGGACAGGGACAACGCTCAAGCCCTCCAATTTCATCATTTTCTCTGGATTTGCGACGGTACCTTCAAAATTCGCACGATGCAATTTCACCAACTTTATAATGTACACATTCAAAATGGCGGTTTTTAATAACCTTGCATTTTAATTCACTTCAATTTGAAGATTAAAAAATTTAAATTTGAAGCTTAAAAAAATTTTAAAATTTAAAACATTATTTTGAAGGCTATGAGAGACCCGGATTGCAGAAGTAACGCATTATCCAGGCAAAAATTCGAATTAATCCAATAAATTTAACAAAGATTGTAGTGTTGTTTCTTTAATTGCACTAGCGTACTTAACTCTTTAGCAAGTTTTTAAGCGTCGGCATTTCGTTGCAGTTTTATTTGATTTTGGCATATGCTTTTGGAGGTGTTAGAGGTCAATACTGCAGTAACTTTGCTCTTTGCTCTTTCCCTCATCCCGCCCAATAGTGAGTTACCCAGCGTGAAAGGTTTTGGGGCAGGGAGTTACCCGCATTTTTCCGTTTCAAGATAATTTATTAGATTTGTGATTTCTTTTAGCTGTGAACTCATATTTTTTTGACTGATATGATGTTTACTAACATCTTTGCTAAGTGAGCTTGCATAATCAACAATCAATCTTTAATATGGTTATTGAAAGTTGCGTTGAAATTTTGCGGCTTCCAATCTGACCGACCACGCATGCTTTGAACTCTTTTTGATTTAGCACATATTATAGTGATTCCGCAAATAGTTTCAAGCTTAATTGTACAATGAATTTATTTTTCATATTTAGGACGACACTATGTCATCGAGGATATCAAAAAAACTGGGGCCAGCTTTGATTAATTTGGGACAGAATGGAATAGGACGAACTGTCTTGTGGGGCAAGTTGGAGTAAGACAAGATGAACTGTTATAACTCGAGCTGGGACAAAATGACTTGTGAGCCGGAACAACAATACACTGTGAAAAGTTAATGACCAATTTAACTTTCCTCGTATATGTGTTTTAGTGGGGCAGAGTGTTACAGTGGTGAGCAAAATTTAACGCAAATTTACTTTTTTTAGTTTCATCAAAACTAATTTTCAAAAGCGTTTTAGTCAACGTTTTCTTACCAAATTAGATCACCATTTTAACCTCCTTAAAATTATTAGCAGACGGCTTCAAACGGTTGCAGTTGATTCAGAGCCCAGAAAAAGTTAGTTTTTGCGGTCTTTAATAATAACTTTGAACGACGTGAAACACTAAAAGACAGCTGATTTTGGGATTTGGTCACAAATAATTGTGTTTTCTCATTGATTTTGTTTAATATTGGGTGCAAAATTCAAAATTTATTTTATTGTGTCTTTTTTCCAGGTAAAGAAACTTGATTTCAGATAGGGAAAACTGGCTTTTTCAGACCCGGAACAAAATCCGATCGTACGGCGGGGACTTAATTTGAGAGCTCACTTCTATGTTTAGTAAAGGCGTAATTGAAGTCCTGCTATTCCGATAATTCATACAGTTAAAAAGTCAAAAGTTGATTAAAAAACACCCCAAGCATAAATATTCCGCAATTTTTTCGACAGTCATTAAAACACTGCGAAAACTCAAAGATTTATTTTTGATTTCCATCATATAGTTGATTTGGCTCGGCAGATTTTTTCATTGCTGAACAAAATTAATTGCAAAGTTGTTTTTTCAACTCTATCAAAAAGCAATTTTCAACGAGAGTTTTTGATAACGTTTCTTACAGTTTTTCAACGTTTTAAGCTAAACTTAAGGACTGCACTAAAAGCAGTCACCTTTAGTACAGGCGTAATTGAAGTCCTATGATTCCTTTAGAGCTTAAAGGTGGTTTCCTGATGTTCCTTATTAAGTTACACATTCATAGGAATCAAGTAAGCTAATTACAAATCAGTTCTAATTTTCAAATGAATAAATTGATTCATGAATTCTTTCAGAACTTTTGATGTTTTTTTTCTCCTTCAATCATGCGAGAACAGGCTAAAAAGTTTAAGGAATCAATGTTGATTGTTTTTCTGCAGCTTTAAGTGTTCCGTTTATTTCCACAGTGAATCATGACTTTTCATCGGCACAGCGCGCCCGGTCGAGGAAGAGAAGACTAGGGAAACATCAAGGCACACAGGGGAGTGAGTAAACAGTCTCTCCCTTGAGATTACTTTTTGAAAAGACGGAAAGAAGTTTTTGAGAAAAATTTGAACTTTTTCAAAAACTTTAAAAATTTTCAAAAAGCGTCCTAGAAAACTATTATCAAAAAACGGATTCCCATACATTTTTGTATCTGTTTTTCATATCAAACTGGAAGAAGCGTAAAATAAGCCATAGAAAGAAAGACAATGTTACGGAGAAAAAATTCACTGCTTATAAAAAAGCAAAGAAGCCATTAAAAGCATCTTAGTAGGGAATTTAAGAAGGAAAAATTGCTTGAAAAGCGTACTAGATAAACTGAAGTGCATCTGAAAAAAAAACGGAAAATCAGCCGCCAGAAACTGGGACAAGAACAAATCGGAAAAAAATCAAAATTTTCGATATGTTTAAAATGAGCTACGAGGTAGTTTTTTTCGAGTTTTTAAAAAATTGAGCTTGTCAGCAAATTTTTTAAGAAAAGTTCTAGTCCCAATTACAAGTCACTTGAACTCGGAAATTAAAAAAGCTCGGAACATTATATTTTACGTTTTTGATATCTTACTTGTCACAAAATGTTCTTTAATTTGGCTCGGAGTCGCTACTTTGGCACTTCGGCCCGAAAAAAAAATTATCGACCTGCTGTCCGACACCTTAAAAATGCCATTTTTTGCTTGAAATCTGTGTAACTGTTGAGTTGCAAATTTAAACATCTGAGCTATTGGCAGCTTGATAACATTTTAACGCTCTGATTTTTCAAGATCCAGTTCGTTCGCCATTTTATTCATGAGCAAAGTCAACGTGTTTCCAGGATCCAAAAATATAGCTATAGTAAAAATTGGAAGTTAAAGTTGATACTTCATGGGGGCTGCTTTTTCCAGTTTTTTTTCAGAAGTTTTGAGTCGACTCTCAGTGGTATTTGAAGACTACTTCTGATTGCACTATTGATTTTTGCCATGAACTGAGAATTTGGCTGAAAATCACTACTGATAATTGGCCTGAAAAGCCGTCGGTCTAACATCCGGCAGCCTAGCTACCCATGCTCTGTTTCACTTGATATCAATGAAGCTGTTATGTACCAAAATTTGACATCTGAACCAAATGCAGCTTGAAGGAAAATGTATTATCGCATCAAATTTTCATGCCTCAGTTTGCTCGCCGTTTTGCTCAAGATCAAAGTCAACGGGCTTCCGGGATCCGAAAAAAATTAGTGTTTAGGATTTGCCTGTAAAGCGTCGAGAAAAGCGGATGAATATTTTGATGAAGCTCATGAAGCTCTTCGCAAAGGTAACCCTAACTGCGTCCGCAACTAAGTTTCCCTAAGCTTTAGCAATTCCAATGATCAATTTTTGCCAGAAGTCTCTTTTTTGCACATAGCTGCTTAGTGTTTCTGCCTACTAAACCAATCCGCCCACTAATTGAATCTCTACTAAACTTATCTAAAGTGTTTATCTAAGTGAGTCGTAGTACTCCAAACATTCAAAGTAGCTAAGATTTGCGTTAGATACTGATGACAAAATTTCAGCCAATATGACCGCATCACACAATGTCCATAATTCCATTCACGCTATGAGTTCGTTCGTATCTTACATATATTTCAGTTTGCCCCGGCTGCTGCTATTTTGCAACGTTTTTGTCTCTTTCTACTCATCTCTGCTGTTTTTTCTCAACCGGGATTTGAAATTTTCTTTTGCTTTAATGATCTTATTAAAATTAGTGAACTCTTCACGATGTTCCACTTCTTGTGATGCTAGTAGTTCATAGAGCGTTTGCTCTACTATTGATAAATTTTCTATAATTTTAGTATCTTAGTTTAGCTTCATCCGGTAGTTTTTCGCCAAAGGCTTCTGCAACGTAGATTTTTTTTTCCTTCGTTCCACAATGCCACTGTTAAAATTTTCTCACAGTGCATAAAATTGCTGTGCGAACAAATAATTCTATTTGGCATTATGGTTTTCAGTCCAGTTACTATTTTACCTACGATTATGTTTTTTTGACAAATATGCTGGCGGTTCAAATTTTAAAGCGTTGCTTACATTTTCTTAATTTCATCATGTATTCGGTTTGTAGAACCTTCCTGGTTCTAGGTAATTTGCGTTTTCAACGTAGTTTGCTTAAGTGATTCTGAATGACTTACTGTAGCTACTTAGCAATTTGTGCACGTCCGCGTCACCGAACCATCGACTTAACGGTCCTCAAGTAAAAAGAGAATACACAAGTAGGCAAGTTAAACAAAAAACAAGGCTGACCCTAGGGATAAAATCCTTATTTTTTTGTTTAATTTGTTATTTCATTAAATTTTTTTCGTTATTTTTTTCACATTCCTTTTTTGATTTTTTTTTCTCGTTTTTTTCATTTAGGTAGATTTTGAGCATTTAATTCATGGTCAACTTGCTTAAATAAAAAAACAGTTCCCTGCTGCCAAAAATTATGCTACTTTGTCATTATTGACGGTGAATTTTCATACACCGAATAACTATATTCCAATATCACCAAAGCTCTTAACTGGGTCGAACGATCATTTGCTTGAAAAAGATAAACCAATATAATTGAACGGTTTAAGTAACCAGGATGAAAAATTAGAACCGATTTAGAAGAAACTATGTATCGTGTCTCCGGTTGTTAAGCTAAGATAAGCAAGACCCAAAGTAGGCGGTCTTCTATTTTGCGGCGTTCATGTACAAAATCGTAAGATATGGGGCTTTCAAAAATTTAAGGACCCCCTTTCTAGGATTTTGAGGTACGTGGGTCTCTCCGCTCTTAGGAAAGATACCTCCATCAACTTAGAATCCAGGACAGGAGACAAAATTTCTGTTCTATCACCATTTCATTATTTTCTTATTCATTGAAAGAGCATACAATAAATTCCATTTTTCTATCCAATTGTAAAATTAAGCTTAAAAGAACGCAGAATTTAGAAATGTTCATTCAAAATCAGATGCTTTTTCTTGTTAAGTTTAACTTAACAATAACTTCCCACCTCAATCTTCCCAGTTGCGCTTCAGTAAAAAAAATCTCGACTTTTTCTACCTTGAACCAACACTTCCCTTATCAAATCGTATTTTCACTAAATTTTTTAAATCTAAAAATTCGATTATGGATCGCTGTACATAACACGTTGATTTTTACCCCATCTCCGCTGCCACGCACGCACAAGTGAACTGATAAATTATAGTCGTGAAAAATCGACTGGCTCTTTCAGTCAAAATTATTTCTTAAAAAACAGACGTCGTAAATAAGCGATTGATCACTTCGTTCGCAGAGTCGTAGTTGAGCTTAGCATCACGTGCAATAAACAATATGCCAGTCTTCCAATACTAAACCATATTTCAAAAATTGAATTGAAAGCGTTCGACAAAATATTTTTGTTTTCATTGAGGATCAAAATCTGCTATGTAAAATGGTTAGCATTCAAGCCTAAAATACTTCATCTGGTGTTTTATGCATTAGCAAGTGACCTTATTTGATTTCAGATGCATGAAGATTGGTATTCCATGAATTGACACAGACGCAAAGCTTCGCAAACACTTGCGAGAGCACGAAAAGCAGCTCTAAAAAGTGCAGTAATAGCCAATTAGAAATAATCCTCCAATTAGCAAAAATTCGCCTACCTCTGAGATTCGAACCTGTGACCCAAAAGTTGAGAGTCTCACACACTAACCACAGAGCCACGGAATGAACACTTTTATTTGCGAGTTAGTTTACAAAAAAAGGCTCATAATAACACAATCTGTTCGCAAATAATTTTTCAAAATTACTAAAGCCAACTAGGAAAAAAGCCTCACATTTTTTCATAAATGTCAGCCCGATTGTTCTTCCAGAAAAATTTCTTTATTCACACCATTTGTTAGTTTGTATGAACTCGAAACAATCTGTTCACGTATAATGAGGACAAAGAGTAGCTAGCGAACCTTGAAATCGAAAGTGACCCACCAGTTCTCTTTCGAAAAGCCATCATAGGAACCTGTGTTCACTAGAAATGTAGCACCTGCTTTAAAGACACTTATTACTCTCGCGTAAACCTAAAACTGAGCCCCTGAATCCGTAGTTTTCGTGTTTTTTCCACTTTCATGAGTGGCCAAAGCTAAAGATTTTTGACGTACGTATCTTCTGTGAGCAAGAGGCTTCCTCTCTCAATAAAATAACCATTTGACATTCTATTGATCATTATTTACATAAACTCACAAAATGTGGCATCTGTACAGCGAATTCTTAACATAACGAACATCCTATTTACATATTAACACATGAAATGTCATTCAAAATTAAAGCATCAATTGAGGCCAGTCTTTGAGGAAGCCGTGAACAAGCGCACAAACATTTCGAAAACTTCGAACGTGCCACAAACAAAAAAGCACAATCTGTTTAAAACATGAGTGAGTTTATTGCCCCTATTTGTTATTTTTCGGACAGGCCGTCAATAAAAGGTATGACTCATTGTATGGCCCAAAGTAGTCCATCACTTCCATCTGTTTTGACCATCGCCTGCTCCCGACGACCTGTGGGAACTGGCGACTGAAGCACGACTTGACCTGCTGCTGGCTGGCGCCGCAGTCGAACGACCTGAAAAACAGTGGAAGTTGCCCCAAATTTGAAAAATCAGCTCCGAAAATCTTATTTGAATGCGAATTGTGCAACTTAACGGTTACAAATACTTTGATCCAAAGGAAAAAATTTCAATAATTATCCAAAACCAGTCGAGTTGAGAAAGTTTATTAATTTGACTGTTCGACGGACAAAAAAATTATTCGACCAATTGATAATCAGCATTAAAATAAATCGGATATGCAACTTCTTCAAGTCTACTCTTGATTCATCGCTCTAAGCTAGTGTGCAAAAATAAGGGAAAACTGCAAAAAATGCAGAACTGAAGGAAGAAAAGATAAAACTTGACAATGCAAAAATATTTGACAACACACAATATTTAAAACAAAGACATCTATTTTTTCAAATCATATCCAAAATCACAAATGAGTACACCACACAGCACATTTTAATGTAGATTAAAGCTAGACATCTAGCTGCTATATATTATAGTGAAGACGCATCGAATTTAAATCTGAGATACAAACCCGTGTATTGAGAGCGAGCACTCCCACACATACTACTGCTGTCAGATCCAGCTTGAAAAGGTCACAAAATTTTTAAACTTTTGTAGATTTCAAGAATTCTTGTTTCTTTCGCGCATTACAAATGTAGCAACAAAGCGTTATGAAATACTCGAAAAGTAGAAAGGATACATCATACCCAACTATCGAAGTTATCGAAAAATGTAGCTTGCGATACGAAAAATAAACCTATCAAAAAGAAATTTATTTTACAGGAAAATTCATAAAAGAGAGCAGAAAAACAATTAATTTTTACACTGAGCGAAGCTGAGCTTCGCATCACTTGCGATACAGAAAGCAATCGAGTAATTAAAAAAAAATTAAAAAAAGAACACCCGAAACTTTCACATGTTTGTCTCAAATAAAACTCAATATGATGAAAACCTGCGGCGGAATACAACCCCCAGCATTAGATTAGCATTAAAAACTACCGAGCGGTAACTATGCAGACAAAACCGCGAAAAATGGTGAAAATCCAAATGTGGGATTTTTTTTGGAAAAAGAAAATGGAGAGAAAATTTGGAAATTTTTTCAACACTGTGATGTGCCATTAATATGAGTCGATTAGAAACAAACAATCTCAGACATCACTAGAAATTAAGACAACAAGTTGCTAGGAACGAAGTCCAAACAAACTAAGACAAAAGATATACCCAAAACAAAATTTGTGATATAATAAAAAAAACTGAAAATTACAAAACATGAATGTAAAATTTTTAAGATAGTTTGTGATTAAAGAGCACTCATAGCCTCCCAAACACAATTTTTTTTGCTTAAAGAAGTTATCTTAGCACACAAATATATAGGCTAAAACGCATTTAAAGCAAATAAAAAATCAACTGACGAACAAACTGATTGGAAATTTTCCCAAGAAACTCGTGAATTAACTCATGACTGCAAATTTTTTGCCAAAAATTACGATAGAACAGTATTCCACTTAAGAAAAAGCGAGAAAACATTTCGAACAAAGCTATATTAGAAAGAAAAAAGTTCGAAAACTTCTTCAAACTTTTTTAAGAAGGTCGAAGGAATGATTGTAAAAACTCAAACATAATTTTCGAGCTTGTATCAAAAGCTCAAAACTTTTCGACATCTGTCACCTACAAAGCAAGCTGTAGCCCTAAATATGCAAAACAAGAAGGATGCATATTTGTTAAATTGTCATTTCGAACTTGCTTCGAAATGTACCATTCTGTGAACAAAGTTATCTAGGGGAAAAAGTCTAGTAACCTTCCACAAAACCCTTGCTAATCGCAAGGGTAAAAATCTAATTGAAATTCATTTCGACACGTTCAAAACCAACAACACAACCAGAAATTTCAACATAACCTATTTCATGTAATCAGATCAAATCAATGTATTGATGAAAAATGTGCTGAAACTAAGCAAGATGGAAAAAATATTAAACAAACTCAATTTCAAAAATTGGCTGCAGGCGCATAAAAAGACCGTTCAATACTCTACGCTGGCTCTTCAAAAACCGTCAAGGTAACAAAATTCCAGCTACAGCTAGCAAGCCAAAAAATTAACCACTTTTAAAAACTCCAATGAGTCGAGGTATTTCAGATACAATAAAATAAGCAAAGCCTAAGGAACATTTCAAACAAAGATATATCAATGAAAAGGATAAAAGATAGCGCGTAACACCCAATATACCATGAGCTACTAAAACCCTACTGCTGAAATCGCTTTCATGTACATGATGATTTAGCCCTAAGCACAGAAAAAATTACAAAGCTTCAAAATTTTCGCAAATGCAACCTGCTTCATATGTAATTTGGAAACGTACCCAAACTTGAATAAACCTCTTTCAGAAGCATGCAATAACCCAACCGAAAAATTTAGGCCGAAATTTAATTCGCAGCATATTATGACAGGACTACAGAAGATTTATTGGACACATCAAAAACTCAAGCATCTTATGCCGCATATTTAAAAGCATTTAGAAATACATGATCGCCTCAAAGATTGAATTCTGTATCCGAATCATTTAAAAAATCTTCACTTCAAAAACTATTCAAATTAAAACGCAAAAAAATCATAATCAAGCGAAAATCATGAGCTCAAAAAATGCATCACAAAAGCATTGGACAACTACAACTGGTTGCTCCAATACAATAGAAAACTCCAACCAAAGTAACCAGAGTGTAAAAAACCAAGAAAGTCGAAAAAAGTTTTACTTTTTGAGCAAGTAGAACGCGAAACAATCTTAAAAAACTATAGGAATTGAAGGTTAAATCGAAAAAGCTGAAAAATTATAAACTCTCTTGCTATCATGCACCACCGTCTCTCTCTTGCTATCATGCACCACCGTCTCTCTCTTGCTATCATGCACCACCGTCTCTCTTGCTATCATGCACCACTGACCCTCACTTGCTATCATGCACCACCGAGCAATCTTCTTTCACTGGGAGCCCATCCCCAGTCTCATGCAAGAGTGAACAAGACAAAAAAGCAGCTCTATAAGGTGAAATAAGAAATAAAAAATAAGCCACGACTTCGTGCAACTTTTGCTACGTGTCGGATTCGAACCCTCTCAGCTACGGACGCTTAATATCGGCAAACACTAGCCACAAATAAAGCAGAGAACAGATGCTATAAAACTTCCAATGCTACAGATCGTGATTATAGCAAAGTTAGGTTCGAAAAAAAAGATTCGTACTAATATACTATGTTCGCAAGCTCATAAATGTAAGAACATTTTCGGCAAAAAAAAGAAATTTTAAGAAGCGTACAAAAATAAGTACGTACTACGTACACAGCATACTACGTACACAGCATACTACGTACACATCATTCCTAATCAAATCGCAAAATGACAAACGCTGAAAATGATAACAATAAATAACTCTCGAACCTTCCAACGTATTTCCTAGTTCGTCCTCAATTCTGTCAATATCGTCAGAGGAGAACTCGGAGCGGATCACGGGGTCCAGTTGGATCTCCGAGGCCACCGATCCTTTCTTGGATCCACCTCCTTTCGCAGGTCTGGCAGTGTTCTCGTTAAACACTAAAGCCGCCTTGGGCAGAGTTCCAGTGATCAAAGTTGGCACTTTTTGGTACGTTACTTTCAGTCCTTAAACAAAAAAAATTACATTTAAAAAGAAAACTATTTTATTTATTTCTGTTTCTCTACTTCTGTAAAATAACCAAATTGGACACTTTGAGCTCGCTCAAAAAACATAAATGTTCAAGTTTCTCCGATATTGAATTTCAGCTGTTATTCAGAAAAAAATCTTGTAGGTATCACAAAAAATTCTTTGAAAGAGTCATGGAGCGCAAGGAGCTGACAAAACATAGACTTCAATTTTCAAATTTCAACAAAATAGATGACCTTACAGCTCTTTGAATTTCAAGAAAAATTATGATTGACACTTTTTGATTAAATCAAATCAACTTGAGAAAATTGGTTCAATAGGTAAATTTGGCTCTTTTTCCTTCCCCCCTCCCCACCTGCAAATTTTTACAATTAAAATTACTGTTCCCACCAACCGATTGTTATGAAAATTGACATGCTAACAAATTAGGTCATGACAGACAAAATTGGTCTTCATAGTTAACCTTGTAAAAACCCTCATTACACCATAAAATTGATGCTGATGTGAGGTGGGGGGAAAAAGAGCCTGAAGTTTTTATTACGCTGGGAAATCTGAAAATTAAAATCAACTTTCAAAATTTGAACTCGATCTCCTTTTTCGTGACCTTTCACTGTTCGATAGCGGAGTTTGCCATCATTTTAACAAAAGAAAAGAAATGAACAATCACAAGTCAAACTTCAAAAATCAAACTTGGCTGTGGACAAATCTAGGAAACTTTTCCCGAAAAAAAATCTTTTCCACCCCACCTGCAATTTTTATAATTAAAATTACTGTTCACATTGTCCGATTGTCATGAAAATTGACATGCAGATAAATTAGGCCATGACAAACATATTTGGTCTTCATAATTAACCTTGTAAAACCACTCGTTAGACCATAAAATTGATGATCAATTGAGGTTAGTGGGGAAGGAAAAAAGCCAAATCACCCATATAAGGAGACCCATATAATAGTACTCACTACGTTCATTACTCTTGAAAAAATCACCAAGACCTGTATAAAAGGCTTCACTGCATTGATCGACACATAAACAAAACACTCGCCTCCTGACAACATGAAGAGGTTATCGTAGCCCCTCTCGACCAAAGAGGTGACCACGTGAACGGCAATCTGCTCATCTGCATCGTACACCACAATCACTTTGCCCGCCTTGTTCTTGTAGTCGTACATGGGTGCTATCTCGTAGTTCACCGCACGAGACAGACGCGACTTGGGGAAGTTTATTGCTGAAAAGCTCACAGTGTATTAAACAGTGTATTAACCTATATGAACGATTTATGCACACCCAATAGTCAATTCAAAGTTTCAATTTAGAAGGTTTCCCTATAACGTTTCAAAATTAAACAGCTGCGGATTTCTATCGGACAAAGGTTTACTTATTGAGCAAAACAGTTATTTCACATAACTGCTCCAAAACGAAATTCAATAATTTCAATCAATACTTCTGAGAATTAAAATTCTAAATTTCGTCTACTTGGTTTTACATCCATTCCGATTTCTGCGACCTTCACTAATCACAACACAACATGACCTCAACTACTCACCACCAACAATGTGACATTTTTCGAAGTCTTCTTCGTCTTGACAGTCTAACAGCAGAAACGGGTGTCCTTCTGTCGAGTCCCCTGAGCCCCCTCTAGCCGAGGAAGCTGCCGAGGATGGGTGTCCGCCACTTCGACTGCTGCTGTTCCCTCCCACTGACGAGGGGGTGTTGGAGGAGGAAGAGTGGGTTGTCCCGTTAGAGTTGTAGTGACCGCCTCCTGAATAGTTGCTGGAGGTATCCTTCTCACCCACTCCGCAGATGAGACTAATTAGGACACAAAATAACTCTATAACTTATATTAAAACTCAACAGGCAAGCTAATGCAAAACATCAAGAAAATATTGGACTATTTCCGAATATAACCGCCAGATACACAAAATTTGACTGAAAAATTCTACAAGAATACAAACAAAAATTAAAGCTATCATTTCAAATAGAAAGAAAATTTTTGAGCTTTGTGACTCATTTTAGAGTCCAAATTTTTCAATTCATTTGTACAAAAATATTCAACACAGGGTATAAAAATTCTTTTTGAGACAAAAATTACCTTTCAAACAAATTGCAGAAAACGATTAATCAACGCAAGAAACCAAGAAAAGATTTGTGATTAATTTTAAAAACTGAAACGTGCATTTTTGTGAAAATAACTTAATAAATCCAGACGGCGTGCTCGAAAATTTTAATAATTTTCATCCGTGCTTTTTAGTAAATATTTGAAATTGAACACGGAAAATAAAATGTTTGCACGTGCCTGAATCATGCAATGCCTTCATGCAGCGAGTAATAATTTTTCAGTCGTGCTTTTGTCAATTTTAGAAAAATCGACTCGTGCTCATTTACAAATTTATTTTAAAGTCTGCCTTGATCAGACTGACCCACGTGCTTTCTAGCATCCAAATAGCGGTACATTTTAGTATCTGATGCACAAAAAAAGAACATAAATTATCACGTTCAAAATAAAGAGCACGTTTTGGTAAACGAAGTACCATTAACTCGTCAATTACTGAGCAAGCATGCTTAAAATTATACCAGATAAAATCCCAAAAAACATCATTCAAACTCGATACAAAAATGAATGACAACAATTCATTTTGAGCTTTGTGACCCGCAAATAATTCGGCGAATGAAAAAACCTTCCGCTGTTCGATGGAGTTTGCCTTCCTTGAAAGGAAATGAACTGAACTTAAAAATCACAAGTCAAACCGCGAGAAATCAAAACTAAGCGTGAACAAATTTTAGAACGCTTTCCTGAAAAAAAAAGAAATGACCCTCTTGAAAAAACAATAACGGCCTATATGAGAGTCTTCAATGCATTCATGGACTCTTTAACTATTAATAACATTAAAAATTTGGTCAATAAGTTTTCTTTCCACTGGAAATCTGAAAGGTAAAATACATGCTTGAAACTTGAACTCATTCACTTTTCTTGGCACCATTTTTCAATTGGAGAGCGTAATTTGCCTTCCTTATAGCAAATGAACCGAAAAAACCGAGAATGAAAGAAAACCGATCTTATTCATTAACAGTAAACAAGCTACTATAATACGACTCGTTCAATTTCAAGAAATTTTATTTTGCGTAAGTATATCCCAATAAATCTTCCAAGTTAAACACCTCGTGTTCGAAAACGATAATAATTTGAACAATTTGAATGCTATTGGGAAACATTTTTGAACAAACTGGCCTGTTTCTTCACAAATTTGTAAGCTAACATACAGAACACACACCCATTTTACTAATTTTGAGCTTCATAATAGAAACGCCCCCAAAAGATTTACAAAACACTAAATGAACAATTTTCTTCCAATCACAGGATTAATGGCTGGGATAAACAAATTTATCTTTCGTGTTTTCTGAATCTCACCCATGAAGTGTAGATCTCTGCGTTGAAGGTTGATCACCGAACTCACTCTCCGTCAAAGTCGGGCTACTTTTGCCTGTGTTGTTGTTTGTTTTGTTCTGGTTGCGAGGCGTTGTGTCCATGTCATTTCCATTCCGAGCATCATTATCGTCTAAAGCATTTTATTGCTGCTAACAGCTTTTATTTTTCAAAAGCACTCACAGGTAAATAAATAAGCAACATTCGGGGTCGGCATGACGGGTTGCTTCTGTGATAAAAAAGCGAAAAGAGCCATTAAAAAGATTAATTATTGTTCAAAGTTCACAATGTTATTCGCAACTTTGTCACAGAACTCGATTCACGGGAATACTCAATTCCACAAGAAAACTAATCATTTTTAAAGTTTTTCAATGTCAGTAGAGGCGATAGCACGCTTGGTGAGTGGCGACATGGTGAACTAATGACAACAACTTTATTTCATTATCACAAAAATTATAAACCTTATACACAGTGGAGTGTAGAATCTATTGCGACAGAGGATTTTAAAAGAACGATCGTAAATATCAAGATAAGTAGTAAAAACTATTACTTACAGAAAAAAAAGAGTGAAAACACTATGAATTTGTTTTAAAACATCAAGCTAGAAACTAGTTGAAATGTTATGGCGCACGATATCAACGTTACCTGCTACATAGTAACTCAAATCAAACCTAACCAGAACTTAACAAGCTTTTGGTACATTTAGAACATAGCCAATTGAAGATTGGAAAAGAAAAATGAACGCAAGAAAGCATAAAAAACAGTGAATTTCTTGAAAAAATATCAACTTTCAAAATTCAAAGAAAAAAAAACAGATGCTCTTTAAATTTTTAGAATGAAATTTATGATTGGACCTTTTTTGATAACATGAACCTAACTAGAGAAAACTGGATCAATAGGTAAATTTTTATTCCTCTGGAAATCTAAAAACTAAATTCCACTTTCGAAACTACAAATCGTTCACGTTTTTTGGCGCCTTTTCCAGTATTTGGAGAGTGCTATCTAAGTCACTTTTAGCAGATGAATTTCAATTGAAGTCAAAAAAGCATATATACCTAAGTGCATTCAAAAACGCAGCAATATTTATGAATGCACATCTGTAGTTATTAGAGACTTTTAAGACTTTTCGTGAAAAACAAAAAATCAGTAAGACCTATGGAAGAGTCTTCACTATGTTCATTACAATTAAAAGGATCGAAAACCCTAACTTCGATACTTCTCCATTAATTAGACTTCTAGCAAACTCTATGAGCTTATACCAGCAGACAGTTTGAACAAGTGCTAATAAGCTCAAGGCTACCGTAAAAAACTTTACTTTTATTGAAAATGTATAAATTTTTTAATTGAAGCTTTTTTAAGCGTTTCTAAAAATTTACATCCTTTCTTGAAACTGAAATTCATTCACGTTATTTCCCTCCACGAGAGCAGAAATTACCTACCAGCAAAGAAATTTGTATTAAATTTAAAAAAATCCAAAGTCAAGCCCAAAAAAAAGAAGCCAAATCAAACTAAATTCACTGACATTTAAGTTTAAATCAACACAGAGGCAAAGCGGAACTTCACAACACTTACAAAACAACAAAAACATTGCATTGCGAGATAGTGAAAAGAAAGAGGCGAATTTATGAAAAATTAGGTTGTTATTAGCATTTGTAAGAGTAATTACTTAACGAGCGGAAACTAAGGGGACAAAAAAGCCGAAAACAATTTTGTCATAAAAAAGTTTGAGCCAAAAATTTTGACGACCCGTCCCTAATGAGACGCACAAAAGCATAAAATTATATTTGCACTCGAAACTACGGAATACAGGTTCACAAGGCCAATAAAAAATACAAAGAAGCTTTTTAATGGAAAAAAGAGATGAAAAATTATTCAAAGTGCAGAATTTTCAATGATAGTAAAAACCGTTTGAACCAACGTAAAAAAACATGTTTTGGATGTTAAGTCGATTAAAACAGATTAAAATAAAAAACAATTTAAAAAAAACTAGAGCGACGGAAATAAGCTCGAAAATCATTAATCCGAAAAAATCAACATTTTTTCATTGAAACTTTTAAAATTAAAAAATCTTTATTTTCATAATGTACTATTACACCTTATTACTAGAAACATGTACAAACCTATGTACTAGCGTGAGCTGTCTAATAATTTTTGTGTATCAAGCAATGTAAAAGAAACATATGCTGCTCAAATTGATTACACAGAGGCGAAGCCGAGCTTCGCACCAGTTGCGATGCATAAACATAAGCCGTACAAAAATTACTGAAAGAAACTAAAGCATTTTTTTTTCAGAAGCTTCAAATTATTTCAAGAAAAAATATGACCCAGTCATTCTAGGACACACTTAAAAACCTATTTCAGCTGACTCAAAAAACATTACCAATAGACAGTTCGAAAATAGCCAATAAACTTTCGAAATTCAATTGCGACAACACAAAGATAGGATGACAAACTAGCAGACAGAAATTGACACAAAAACCGCCGAAAATTTGAAAAAAGGGTGTGATATCAACAAAAGCAAGATCTACTAAAACTTCATATCTTTGCTTCAAAAAACATGACAAATCAGAAAACTTCTACTTAGAAAAAAAACAAGTCATGGTCGGATTCGAACTAGAAGCCTCTGACGTCTCAGGCAGGTGTGTTAACTCTATGCCAGATGAGCTAGGCGGTTGATAGCATTTATACTCAATTAGAGTAAACTATATTTTAAAAAAACATCACGAACTATAGATCTATATAATAGACTTCACTACGTTCATCATCTCTGAAGCAGGCAAATCATTAGTGAAAAACGCAATAACCGGATTCTCCAAAAATTTGCAATCAGATAAAATCACGATTTCAAATTATTCGCCTCACATATCTCACATACCCGGACGGGAAAAACCATCGGAGACGCTGCCTCCACAGATAAAGGACTATCGCTCTCAGAAAACCATTCCATTGGTCCAGTAATTCGATGCTAACCCAAAAAGAGGAAACCACGAGTAAGCTGAGCCAATTTTAAATGTTTTCACCTTACAGCATTTCTATGGAGAAATGGATCAACAATACATGTTGATATAATGATTGCTGTAAACGCATGTTACAGTAAGCTTAAACATAGTTATGTATCATTTTAAGACCCATACGCATTGTCATATAATCAATCAAAACACTAAGAGAGAGTTGAAAACATCACTAACTACTGGAAGTGAGATCTGTTGGAGATTCGGACTGTTCTTCCAGAATATCTTCGAAAAACTGTCCTTGTGACTGTCTGAATCTCTCAACTTGAATTATCTGCAATATTGTAACACAAAATGAAGCTACAAAATTAGCAAACAAATTTGCATTGGAAATAAAAATAAACTCACCAGTTGGGCAAATGTTGTAACTTTCATTCTTTTAAAAATTTCGTTTTTCTGAAACCTATAATCTGAAACACATGACGTTTTACAACCTCAAATTTGCCAATTTCCGACAAATGTATGGGACTAATGTGTACTCACTGCTTCTAATTTCCTCTAACTTATCTAGGTATTTGCTGAGACTTGCTCCTGTGTCCAGTGAAGACTTCACATTCGCGTACTTAGGGTTCACTGGCACTCGTCTTTTCGCCATCTAAATTTAAGCAACTTTTGTTAACGCCAAATTGTTAACGCCAAAACTCATGAAGTAACAATTGATTTTCGTAGAAAAATTAGGAATCAATGTTAATAATCTACCCAAAAATGTTTTCGGCTTTCACGCCATCATCAGTCTAAAAACATCATCAGGCCAATTGACTTTAGACTAATTACTTAAAAACTAGACCAACCTTCTCCAATTTGCCATCCACTTTCTTGGCTTTTGTTGAATAGGATGACATATCAGCGGCTGACTTCTAGAATCTGGTTAACGCAAACTATTCGATCTGAAATTCAACAGAATTAGGAAAACTAACTAAATATATGAACAACGAAATTGCTACTTGATTAAGCGCCTTTACCATGAGTACTGTTCGGGTACAAAACTAAATGTAGAGGAATCGGTTCGAAAATGAAGAAAAAAAAAACGTATGCGCAGTCCTGTGGAGGTAGCGTGACTCTCATACAGAAGGAATGTGAGTAGAGGCGAAGCTTTGCTTTATAAGAGCATTCAATATTCAATGCTGGGAGAATCTTACTGCACTTTTCAGGCAAGATAGGCTATGCCATCTATCATCGGTTTCATCTTTTCCGCAAAAACATCAACGTGTTTCACAAACTTTTGAGTCCAATAGCGATTCTAAATTTCTGATCTGTTAATTTTATCTTAGTTTTTACACGTGAATTCATTCTATGCTCCATCCGCGTGTTCCAAACCAGAAATTTAGCTCAAGGTAGCTTTCGCTCCTACTGTTGAGTCTAATTAAGCAGCAAAAGCAAGTAAGCGAGCGGAAGAAAATTCAAAGCTAACTTTGGCTGCCGAGAGAAATATTTGCAAAATTAAGAATTGATTATAAACCATTTGTACTTTACCTTACATCGGGAGTTTCTTAAAATACTATCGTCCGTCCAAAAAATCTTAAAATACTATCGTACCGAACCTGAACAAGGATTTGTACGCAGATTATAGGGAGTATTTAGCGATAAGATTTGCCTAAAGGGAGCCTAGGAGAACAGGTTGCTCGTTAGATTTGATAAGTATTTTGGGACCTACCTTGTGAAGTTGACCTATGATAGTATAGTACTGCGAGTGGCGTGCCACGGAGCCGAACACCCGAAAAATAAATTCGTTCCCGGATAGCCAAAAAACAAATTCCTTCCCTGATAACTAAATTTTTTTTGCTCCCTCAGCCGTTCAATATTACAATCACCATATTATTACATAATAAAAATAGACTATTTAACCCACGAGTACCAATCAAGCCAAATTTTTTTCCTTATTATTTTCGTATCTGGGGTTATCCACTCTCCCGGCAAACAATTATGGGCCGCCAAATTTATGGTATAATTTAAATTTTGTGATTGAGAGAGTGGTAATTCCCAGAACCCCCTTCTCCACACTCCCTGTTTGAAGCAGTTAATCTCCTTTCAAGCCATTCTTTAGCAGATACCATGGGCGGAATTTGGTAATTAAATCCGGAAAAACCGGGCCTTTGTAGTTAGGACGAAATTAGCCGAATTTTTGTTGTTGTTCAATTCATTTAGAGTAAACATACCAGCCAATCAAATCTCTTGAAGATTTTTGGAAACTGGTTAGCTATCAGGCTGTCCCATCAAAATGAGTCTCAATTTAATGATGAATATTTTTATTTACTTTAGTTACAACCGGAGGTATTTCGTTTTTTTTTTCAAGTATCCGAGAATGGGGCTCCGTAGATACGCACCAGTGCTGCCTGCTTGTGGTCGCTCCTAGAAAACGTTCCTCAGAATTTCTGTTTTTAGTCTACGTGCATCGGCGCACTATCTTATAGTTGTCAGCTAGTATTTTATCATCTAATTACCATGAGTTTATTTTGGATTCGAACATTTTTTTAGCGTCTGTTTTGTTTCAGCAATAATGGACGGAGCCCGGCATCACCTAGTAAGATCCCGCCCTCTATTTAAAAAATCGCATGAAGTAACTCGGGTTTACTGTGGGTGCACTGAAAAAAAGAACATGATTCAAGATAATTTCCCTTCTAGGCGAATTAAATAAAATTCTTTAGTTTAACTTTATTAGAATTGAGCATTTCGGGTTGTCAATAGAATCCATTAAAAATTCAAAGCATTGTGCTGCAACTTCAGCTCCTCGATTAATACCCCAACGCACTTGAAAGTTTCTAATAAATTGTCGCTCTTCGAGAACCTTATTTCACGCGTATTTAGATGCGATTCGTCTGAGCTTGTTGACGATTGCAAGGTGTCGCAAACAACAATCTTGTTTTACAAGGACGATAGGTTTATGAGGGCGTAAAAACGACAATAAGCATCTCTGTTATTTGAAATAAGTAGAGATAATCCTCGAATTTGTAGTTTTTTTGCTACGTGTCGGATTCGATCCTGCGACCTGGAGGCTAACAAGGCCTGAACACTTCGGCGCTTGGCGAAATATTATTCAAATACACAAATCATTAAAAAAAGTCAACTGTTTGATATGCCATATCATCTAATAGCTATAAAATTAATCAAGAAATGCACCAGTCAAAAGTCAAGAAAAAAACAAAATGATCATCTATGATTTTTTAATGGGAAAGTCGAAAAGTCAGAAAAAATATTGGTTACCGAATTTACTTCAATAGTCTTTTATCATTTCACCCGGTCAAAACCATTGTAAGTTCATATTGTAGGGAAGGTAACGTCTAACGTAAATAAAAAATAAAGATCCAGATAAAGACAGTAGCTGAGTCACTGAGAAGATACAATAGGCATTGAACCATTTATTAAAATGCAGTTGTGTCGAGGTGAACTATCGACGCTTGTTGAAATGGGGACTGTGTATGATGGGTCTGCCTTATGCTAGCATCATTTAGGCTTTGCATGTCTACGGTCATCCTTGGCTCGCCGTTATGCTTGCGTACAACGACCATCCTATGGCACCATGTTACTGGTGTATTCAGTGGTACCCATTCTAGTACGCCTAGTGCAACGTCTTTGTCGGTTTCGTGCTTCACCTTTTCCATTCAGTGCAACGGCAATGTTTCTGGGGTATGGTTGGCTGTGGGTTTTACATTTGGATCAGTGGCAAATTCCAGTGGTGGACCGTGGAAGAGCGGCAATGGTTGGTGGGAACATGTGTTAAACGTTGATGCGGCGTAGTACTCACGTATGAAGCGTTCCAGTTCATCGATATTCGAGTCTTCCAAGCTCATTGGGGCATCCGGGGGCTCTGGTGCTGCGCAGCGCTTAGGGCAGCCGGAAGGTGCTGACTCAGAAATTTTGTTAACGTGGTCTGCGTATGTCTTCCTCGTTGGTAGAGGAAACTAGCGTCAATGCATCCGAGATCGATAAGACATGTTCTACTCAGAAACAGTTAGTCAAGACCTTGTACCACATGAAGGGTTTTCACTGTGTTTGTATAATAGCTTGCTCCGTTGAATTGAAAGTTCACCGGGATAGTTCCAATGACTGATAATTCCCGATTATCAGCGCTTTTTAGCACGCTATTTCCGCGGTTGAGATTTTTTGACGAAAGGTTGAGCTGCTTCATCAATCGTGGACCACAACACACCACCGATGCCCCCGTATCGGCAATTCTCTGGACAACTACAGTACTTGGTTTTGATCGCTCCGATGCTTTATGAACTTTGAGACACACTGTCAGCGTGTTGTTATGGATACTGTTCACGCCATTGACTTGTTGCTCAAGGGCAAGTATGTGCTCTACATGTGGATTAACCTTAGTGTTATCGTGCTGTTGAGTGATGCTACTAAAGTTGTCTTGCTGAGGGACACCCTGCAAACGCTCTGAAAGTGATTTCTCTTCCCACAAGTGCACGTATTTCCGTATGCTGGGCATTTTGCACGCCATTCACTCGGAGGTCCTGGGTGAGCCGCATTACCGCAGTTATTGCAATTTCCCGGTTTTTTGCTAACTGGTCTTTTAAGATTCTTCTTTTAGGTACTGAGTGCTGCTACCGTATCTGATTGCAAGGTACCTTGACTTCGTTTTTTCTGCTTTGATAAGCGTGATGGTGTCCAGGGCTAACAAGTCTTCTTGATTTTCGTCATCAGCGAGTCTAACGAGGAGTTGATGCAGTACCATGTGCTCGCTGTAATCTACCATGTTGTCGCAAGTGCACTTCACCTTCAGATTACATTGACGTGCGTTGGCTTTCACTTGAGCTAAAAATGTCTGAACTGGTTGTTCTGAACCTTGTCGAAGCCGCAAAAGTTCTACAATGCTCATCATTGGGTTTCGTGCTCTTACTATCAGTTGCTTGATATTCTTGAGCATTGTGTCTTCGCTTTGACTCTGCAGATTTGGTCCATGAGTCGAGAACAGAACTTTGTTAATCTCAGGAGATAGGCAGTTCTGGAGGTAAACCGATACATTAATGTTGATTTCAGCGAGTGTTTTGTATCGTGCCAGTCAGTCTCGTGACCAGCCAGTAAAAAAAGTGACCAGCCAGTCTCGTCAACTGAGTCTCCGGATAACTCGAGTAACGGCCTTTTTGGTTTTTCAGCCTTCCTTCCCGCGTGGTTGTTATGAGCAGTGTCTCGGTGAACTTCAAGCATCCGAATAGCTACGTCTGCTTCTAAGTCGGGTGTTTTGTAGTTGCATGCCGGTGCGGCTGGGCAATCCAATTCGACCGGGGCCATTTGATTCTTGTTGTTTACTTTATTTCCAGAGATGCTGCATAGCTGAGCCTCTGAGAAGAAACAATAGGCATTGAACCATTTATTGAAATGCAGTATCTGAAATACACGAAGTACATTATAAAATGAGTATAGAAGCATCTAGTAAGCGGGACTACCAGCTAGACAGGATTTGCAATATCTATAATTTTCAGTTTTCTGCCCTGGCTTCCATTTCTAATTTCTAAATTTCTGCCCTGGCTGCGCTGTTCTGGGGTTAAAAACCAAGTATGCACTAATTCTACTAGGGAGTCTACTAGGGCTAGGAAGTTAAATTCTGTTATGTCCGACAGAAGCTGCCCACCAGCAGGGCAATGAAAAGCGTCAAGGCGTCTGGTCACATCTGATCAAACCTATGGAGGTGATGGGGCTGTAATAAAAAAATGTGAAGGGAGGCGAAATTTTGCTTTATAAGATCATCCGATTTTCAATGCCTGAGAAAATCCCTGTATGTTTCATTCATGATAAACCAAGACATCTATCACCGGTTACACCTTTACCGCAAAAACATCTATGTTTTTCACAAATGTTTCAAATTAAGCGCAATTGAGTTGCAACTTTAAGTTGCTGGTTTGTCAATTTTAATCATAGCTTTTTTAAATCATAACGTTAAAC